GCGGGGGGGGGGGGGGGGGGGGATTGGGCCTTGGAGGTGCCCGCGTGGCTAAGCAGACCTCACAGTGGCGTAGGTGGGGCCCAGGACAGCCGCAGAGCTTCATGCTGCTTGTTTCACTTGTTTATGCTGGTTGGTGACCCAGGGGAGAGCTTTGAATGGAGGTGGGGCTCCAAGGCACACCTGGGACCTCACCTTGGCGTGCGTGCGCGGGGCCCGGGATGGCTGCGGAGCTTCACGCTGCTTGTCTCACAGGTTTATGCTAGTTCCAGGAAGTGTTAAAATGAAAGCTTCTCCTTCATTTTCTGTTCCTCCATTCTGTCCTCTTTATTCTTATTCTTTGTCTCTCTTAATCAGTGTTGGTTTGAAATCCACTTGATCTGCAAAGAGGATAGCTACTTCTGCTTTTTTTCTGGTTCCTGTCACATGGAGTATTGTTTTCCACCCTTTAACTTTCAGTCTATGAGTTTCTTATTGAATTAACTGTGCTTCTTGTATGCAGCACATTGTTGGATCTTGCTTCTTGACCCATTCTGCCAGTCTGTTTCTTTTGATTGGTGAATTGAGGCCATTAACATTGATGGTTTTAACTCATACATGTTGACTTATCATTGTCATGATTTTTTCTTTTTGTTGGATTCTCCCTCTTTGCATTTAATTTCTTGTCGAACCCGATGGGTTCATTCTGCTGTGCTTCCTGGGGTTGTGATCCTCATTGTCTTTTCCTAGGATATTGTCTAAAATTTTTTGGGGTGCTGGTTTGGTATTTGTGAAGTTCCTAAGGTATTCTTTGTCATGAAAGTATTTTATTTCTCCATCAGTTTTGAAAGATAATTTTTCATGGTACATCAATCTGGGTTGGGGGCTCTTTTCCTTTAGAGCTTGAAATACACCACTCTAAGCTCTGAAAGTTTAAAGATTTAATATTTCATTTTCTACAATATTGTTGTTAATTTCTTTCAGTCATTTTAGTGAGCTGAAAGAGGAGACATTATTTTAAGATAAATCTGGGAGTTATTCAGTGTAATTGTGGGACTTTGTATGGATATTGTCCCTTTTCTTCTGCTAATTTTGAGCCAATTTTCAATTTAGGTATCTATGTATCTATCATCTATCTGTCAATTAGAAATCTAGAAAAACATCAAGTGTTATTGGTAAAGCTAAATGGCAAAATGAACTTGAGTTTGAGGTACCCAATGGCATTCTTACTGCACTTTCCTTCTGAATTGAATGTATCCAGCCAGTAAGTTGTAGGGCAAATGGGCAACTGCAGACCTGCTCTTCAGGGAGAGTGTTCCCAGGAGACTTACTGCAAAACAGAGGAGAATTCTATTTGGACTCTAAGATCTCAAACAGCCAAGCACTGACAGGGAGCTGGATAGACCACTAACACACAGCCATCCAATCCTCACAACATGAAAAAGGGTCAGGGTATGCCAACCACCATAAAAACGTACCAACTCCTTATTGTAGTCCTTTCCTGGAAGGCAAGATCTCTGCCAAAGGGTACATGTTCCAGCCCATTCTTCGTCTCCAAGTGTGGCCAATAACTATTTATTCAATAACAGAATATCAGTCAAGAAGATGTAGGCCAGTTCTGGACCATGTTGTACCTAAATCTTTTCTTTCCTTTACTCATTGAATAATTGGGTGCAAGTTCTCCAAGAACCTAACAAATGGTAAAACCCTCCCATGTGGGAAAGATGGACCTTGTTAAATCACAGCAGTGAAGACAATTGCCTGTTAGCCAGACCTAAAGACATTGATCTGTTGTGTGAATGAAAGAGAAAGTTCAATTGTGCTAAGCTAAGCCACTGACATTTGAAGGTTGTTTATAATGGCAGTTAGAATTACCTTAACTTTCATGGTTATTACTTTCTCTTGGATAGGAGGAAGAGAAGAGGCTACAAGGGTCTCTCTCTGACTTATAGGCTGAACATTCTTATTCAATAGACTAAGGCAGAAATTGGGAAAAAGAAAAATATACCCCCTGTTAGAATAAATGCCAAAATGACTAAATTACTTTAGCAGTTAAAGTTCAGCCCATCAGAAGACAGGAAAACAGACCACATAAACATTACTGGTAGTTTTCTTTAGGGAGTAGTTTAAGAGAAATCTAGCACCTCTAAGATCCTTTTGACAGCTTTTTTAGGATAAAGCAGTAAGGTGAGTTGGAAAATGAGAAACTTTTCCGGGGATTAATTAAACTTTTTGGGTGCTAGGCTGTTAACATGTGTTTGTGAAAACAGGTGGAGCAGGTGTGTGTTATATACAAACCTATAAAAGGTAGGCTTTGAAATGGAAAAGCATTGTCAATTAAGAAGTTTTCTCCTAGATTTCCTTTAGATATTAATAATGCCTTCAAACTACCAGTATGTCTGATTTCAAGAGAAATGAAATACTTAGAACATTATTATTTTGTCCAGGAAATTACAAAAATACAAATTTTTCAGATATGTCTATCAGATCAACTTGGCTCCTGAGTAGTGTGATAGTTTTAAGACAAAATAAAATGAAATTGTGTATCATTTTTCTTCACTACATGTTCACTCATAATAATTTATTTATTTATTTATTAAGTCACACATGTGTAGTGAATATTTACCATGCTGGGTTCTCTTTTAGGCTCTGATGATCTTGAATAAAGAGGATGAAAATCTCCACTCCAAAGAGGTAAATTCTAATTGGGGAAATAGACAAAAATAAATATATGCATTTCAGACTATGCCAGAAAATTATTAGCAATATGGACACAAATGAAACAAGGCCTTCACTTTTAATAATTTATGGACTATCTTGACTTATGTCAAAGAAGCAACAATTTCATTTAAATGCAAACACTAGGAGATTGCAGAAAGTCTTGGCAGCCTGCTTTTAATGCCAGAATGTTAAGTGTCTTTCATGGCTGTCTAATATAGAGAGGAAATTAGAGCTGGTACATTTTCTTTCCTTTTTTTCCTGTTATTTTTTAAATGGACTCTGAATTTCTTGCTTGAAGAAGCACTTATCTAGCAATAGCAAATGATGCTTTATCATATAATCTTTTGAAATGTAAATGCAGAAAATAAAGGTCTCTGTGCTGAAAGGCTCAGGGATGACTCATTTCTATTCTCTTGCAATCCTTTTATACCTAAAGAATTTCCAGCATGGTCATCTGGCACCCATCACTAACAAAGATGAGTGACAATTTTCAGCCTCCATCTGCTCCTTGCTTGCTGTCTGACCTTGGGGAAGTTACCAAAACTCTCTGAAATAACTTTCTAAAAAACATAAAGAATAATGCTTAGCTCACTGAATTGTTGTAAGGATTAAATGAAATCATATAAATAAATTTCCTGCCTTAGTAGGTTCTACTCTTCCTATTATTTTTATTATTACTTATTTTACATTCTAACAACAAGGTGATTATGTCATTGACTCAAAGCTCAGTGCTGAATTATTTACAACAAATTTTTATCAAGTGACAAATCAATTAGGTGGCTTGAAATATGTCTCACTAAACCTCTACCTGTAGAAGTAAAGAACATTCTTCACTAAGTCTGATTTTGATAGGAACTTCAAATGCCAACAGTTCCCATAGAATACCAACAAACTCTGTTACAAGTCACATGATAATGTTTGTCATATTATATGTTGACTTGATATAAATTGCCTGATATTTTAAAAACTTTGAATTGGGCCAAATGACTCACAGTCTAGATATCTCTCATATAGATTCCTGTAAGAAATTATTTTATGTCTACACATAAAAAGTAAGTCATAAAGAATAATAAAACCTTAACAACTTGTGATTAAATTGCCCACACTATATGTGATCTTAGTAGATAATTCTGATTTAAAAGTAATATGACCCATTTTTTTTTTTTTTTTACTATGGAAAGGAATAAGTACAAAAAACTATAGCATTGCCTTTGTTCTACTTTTGAACTTCTTGGAATCAATGGGATTGTTTTCTTTCCTTTTTTCTTTTCTGGTGTCTTCCAGAAGATTTAAGATAGCTTGTTAGTCCCACAATCACTGCTATTGGAAGCTGGAAAAGTTTTTAGATGTCTTATATTCTAATTTTCTTTCTTTTTTTCCCTTTTGATTTCTCTTTTTCTTTCTTTATGCATTTAGTCTTTTTATATTTACTAATATGTCTTAATTGTACATATGCATGGGGTTCGATAGCTTCATTCATGCATATAACATGAACGGATCAAATCTACCCTTCCTTTTCCACTTCCTCTTATTTCCAGTCTCTAGTAAAAACTATCCTACTGTCAGGTTGATGTTCCTCAGCCATATATTAGAACATGAAGTGCTTGTCTTTCTGAGTTGGTTTATTTTACTTAACATAGTGTCTTTCAGTTCCATCCATTTTGGTGTCAGTGGTGTGATTTCATTCTTTTTTATGCCTAAATAATACTCCACTGTGTACATAGACTACATTTTTCTTTATCCATTGCTCTGTAATAGGGACTTAAGTGAATTCTTTATCTTAGATGTTATGAATAGTGCCCCATAACTTGTGTTGTATAAGACATATCTGTATGTTATGCATACTGAGACATTATGTTCTAATTTTATTATTTTAAAATAAGAAACTTGCATCTCAGCATGCTAAAAGAATGGACTCAAAGTCAGACATAAGTTCTGTGGCAAATTGTAATTATAGTAGCTTATATTGATGGATGTTTTAGATATTTTTCCAAGTGCATTATAGGCTTGGTTTCTTTCAACCTTCCAAACATGCTTATTTGTCTGGATCACATGACATTGTTCTCAACAGCTAGAAGACTCCCTAGCACAGAGTATGTGCCAAATAATTACTTGTTGAAAAAAATAAACAAAGGTAAAAGTGAGAAAAAGTCATATCTCCGTTTTACAGATGATGACACTGAGGCTTAAAAAGACCAAAATGTCTTGGCATTATACAACTTATGATTCCCACTATAGTGATACCTCATGTGATTGACTTGAATCATAGTTCTTAATCACTTTGAAAGGTTACTTTTGGGTAGTTGTCTCAAATCTGTAAAAAAATATATATTTTGGACATTTTCCTGAATTTTGTGAATGAGTAATGATATGAAATGAAATTACCGCACATCATTACAAAATTCTAAAAACAGGTGGTAAAAAGAATTGATTTGACATATTGTGTTTTGTGTGAAAATATTTGGGGAATTAGTTTTATCCTTGATGGATTTAACTTAAAAGTAGCAAAAGCAAAGATTTGCTTTCCATTCCTTTGGGTATTAAGTAATTGGACAAATGAACTTTATGTTATAAAATGCAAATTCCTGGCATTGTAGATTCCAGCCTGGCTCAGCCAATTTCACAAACATGTCTGTTTATTGTCCTATTAACATTTATCATTCATTTCTATCTGCCCCTGAGGTTTACTCCCTCACTGGACCTCTTTTCTTATTCTTTACCTCTTTTTCTTTCACTTGTTCTGCAAGGGTTAATCACTCTTTTGATCAGAAATCCTACTTTAAATGCCATCCATCCCAGGCATTTCTCTCTCATTTTCATTGCAACAATAGTACTAATCATTTCCCATTTAATCGTAATCTTAGATGGAAATGCTTGTTAGTTTCCAGTTTTGAGTCCTCTCTATGCACATGGATATGAAATCTTCTCCAGTGTGTAGTGTCTTTTTTTATACTGTATATCATCACAGTGCAGTGCCTCTGTATGATGATGGCTCAGTTGCTCCTTGCTGAAAAGAAAGTGCAGAATAAACAGATAAAAAAGATTATCTCACTGTTACCAGAAATGTGTTTTCCTTGCTTAATTTTGTTTTATGAATTATAAATCTTTAGCGTGACAAACTTTGAAAGTTAGGCTTGCATCTTATAAAAAGAGCACAGAAATGAATTTAATATATTTTTTATTTTTCATCTTTACTGGTATATAAAATATTGATGTAACTTAGTGCTTAGAACTTGGAACTGAGTTCTCTCTTTCATACTCCCTGTCGATCTAACTAATTTTTGGTTTACTCCCGATTTATGTCTTAATTTTCCACTTGTTTTCATAAATAACAGACAGTAAATCTGTCCTTGGAGGAGATCCATGAAATTTAATTTACACTTCCAGAGGCCTTGGGGACATCCGTGTGATAGTGTGTAAAATGGGAATTATCATTGTGGACTCATACCTGCACTTGAATGTATTGTTTTTAGTGTAATTTTGGAGGCTGGGAATATTTTTGTCACTTCATCTAAAAAGATTCAACTAAATTTTCTTTCTTTATGAGCAAGCTGGTATTCTTGTGTCATGCTAATCAATTTTTCATTTTCTGGTCAATTTTTTTTTAATTAACTGTAGCTAAAATGTTAATTATCAACGCTGGTAAACTGTGGGCAACTAGGAACATTGTCACTGGCACAGGCAATGAAGTGGAAAATTCCCGGCTTCTCAAACCTTTTCACAGCCCCTGTGAGAGACAATCTCTAGCATTTTGGTTAAATCCTAGCTTTCTGTAAGAAATCACAGTGGGAGCTCGCTTTTAAGAAGTCCTGAGGCTCTCAGCTGAACTAGTCTAGTGAAATCGTCCACTACCAGATTCAGGGCTGTCAATTAGTAGCTGCCATGGTTGGCAGTTGCTGCCAAGGAAAATGCTCTGAGTCCTGATTATTGCCCTCCTCTGAGCAAGAATAGAATGGTTGATAATTAGCTCAGCCAAATTGGCTCAAGACTTGTCTTCCTTTGTTATTAAAGACCAAATTGATAATGAAGAAAGCTCTAGTAATTAGCACAGAAAGAGGCAAGATGTTTCATTTTATTTCCAGTATTTCCAGACCTGATAGAGTAAGGTCAAATGAAGATTTGTTATGGAAAAGACCATAACATGGAAAGTAAGAGGCATATCCATCAGAACGCTGATACTAAAAGGTGTAATTTTCTAAATTTCTAGACAATACTCTCAAACTTTAGAACTGAAGTCTGTTTGTGTCTTTAAAGAGTGAATATAAAAGGCCAATGTTTACAGAGTGTTACTGTGTGCACGCTTTTAATCTTTAAAACTGTATGATGAAATAGGCACAGTATGATTGCCATTTTACAGTCAGGGAAATAAGCAATGAATTTCTGATACTTAGATTTTCATAAGTTTTTTTCACCTATTTTTTTTTAAACTTGAGATTTAAGAAACGGTAAAAAAGAATGGCTGTACTTCAAAAAATGTTAACCCAATTTTGGAGGAAGGTCTTCATGAGATAGAAGTTGGACTCTGTCAAGCAGGAGAAGATAAGCAAAGAATGGTTAGAACAAAAAGGGAGAAATATAAAAAGAAAAGGACATGGTTTCTCTGAGATCATCAAACATAAATACCATAAGGCACAATAAGCTATTTCCAACATGGAAGTGTCTAACATAAGAAATTTTGCAAATGCAAGAAATATACTGGGGAAAAGAGTTAACAGTTTCAAATTCACACATACACACACACACACACACAACTGTTGCATTGGAAACTATTGACAATATTTTGTCAATAAATTTTAATATCAACCAAAACAGAATATATTACTCTAAGTGGCAACAAATAAACTTATTGAAAGGGTAGGGAATATTACACTCCCCCTATGCCTAGCCCCTTGGCTATTAGTGAATAAACTGAGGACCAGAGACTTTGTAATTAATCGCACAGGTGGGTATCTTTCAGGGTTGGATGAGAATAAATCTTCTGGTTTCCAGTGTAATTTTCTGTAGTTTACTCCTGGTATCTTATGCACTTCCCAGCCACTTCAACTGTCAACATCTGTAAACTTTTTTCTTGACAATGTTAACTGTGGAATAAAATCCCAACACAAACTTCTTTTGCTGGTACCAAAATGTGCATTGTCAAAGTCAAACAAAAACTTACAGATAAATCTCCATGAAAAAGAAAGGTTTTATTTTGAGAATAACACAGAATAGGATTGCAACCCATTGCTTCTGCTATGTAAAGTGAAAAAAAGGAAAGGTTCCTTCTTGTCTGAGTTTGATACTGGTGACTTTGTTATGAGTCTAGTAACTTTCTCAACACATAAGACCTGTTCATTCTGTTTTATTATCAGATAATAAAAAATGATCACATATTGGAAAAATTATAAAACTTTAGAAAGACTCCATTCTTAATGGTAGTTTTTCACATGTTTGGTTATACATAAAATCAAGCTGCAACTCTCTAGCTTTTTCTTACCTCTTTTTCAGATTTTCTGTTCTTTATCTATTTAAATTTCTGGACATGGAGTTTGTTTCAATAGGACTGCCATGATTTTTTCTGTTGATTCTCATTTAAAGCAATTTCTATTTCATGATCCACAGCCATTTCCTACATCTCTTCAACACCTCGGTATTATTGATACGGGTGAGTGGGTCCTGTGCAGCTTCTTTCCAGATTCTTGCTGTCCCAAATAAAGAATTGGAAAAATCTAATTAAAATGAAAGGCAGTGAAGGTGTCCATTTATTGAAGTCAGCAAACAGGTAGCTCTACACAGGGAGATCAGGGTGGCGGAATGGTTCACAGTAATCCTGAGGATAAGGGGAAAGGAGTCTTTAGTATCCAAAATTCTGGGGGTGGCTCCCCCTTCATGCAAACAAGGCATTGGGACATTTGTCCCATTAAAAACTCACTCACTTGGTTTCATGCCATGTATAAACTGTCCTTTGGAAAGACTTGCTTGACTTCCTGGAAGATGTAAATGAAAGATCAAGAACAGGGTCTTCTGATTGGCTGTGGCCACAGGGAAATGCAGGATTGAAAAGAGCAGTTTTTGATTGGTCCTGAAAATAGGTTTAGATTCCAAATGAAGGAGTGAAAATGCTGCTTTCTGACTCATAACCACAGAGTCATTTGGATGCTCTACACAGGAGCATGTGTCATTTGCACACATCCCATCTTTTTAGGAAACATCTCACTCAACCTGTTGGCCCTGGCTTTATGACTTCTGACACATTCTGCCCAGATTGTTGTTTGGTTTGCCCCTAATCTTCTTCCTCAATACCTCCTTTGCTTCTGATCTTTAGATTATTGGTTTCTTTTGGTTTCTAGAACTGCGTATCTCTAATTACTGCTTAAAGTCTTATACTTTCATCTAATTAATGTTACACAATTCTGCCTTATCTCCCTAGAAATTCCCCAGTTATATATTCTATATATTAATCAGGAAATATGTGATAAAAAATAGGGCTAAATTTGAAATAGCTAAGTTTTTCTACTACTATTATCTGACTTTATATATGCCAATATTTTAGCATAAATAAACCCTAAAGTAATTTTTTTTTTTGGTACCGGGGATCGAACTCAGGCCCTTACACTTGCAAGGCAGGCGGCAGAAACACTGAGCTAAATCCCTGGCCCTCTAAAGTAACTTTTAAGAGCTTATTCTTTAATCCTCAATGCTGTAGGTAGTGATAAATAACTATGATATAAATTAGAAAACAAAAATGTATAATTGGGTATATGAATCATTTGTCTATTTACTTTGATAAGTTCATACAAATGTTTGGTTCAAATTAAATAAAGTTATGAACTTTTATCTCCAAATAAATAAAGTGAGCTCTACCTTGATCTGTGAGCTCAAGTCATACCCCATTTTGCTGAATTATATCACAAATTAATGCCAGATACAGATAGTCAATCCACTAAAGTAATGAGGTACGTGTTAACTAAAATATAAATTGACTATTGGAAGACAAATTATGTTAATGATAAGTCAATGGCCAAATCTTTCTGTAGAAATGCAACATTTGATTTATTTTATTTTTTTTGCTACCAGGGATTGAACTTGGGTCCTTGAGCTTGCGCAGCAGACACCGAAACTACTGAGCCAAATCCCCGGCCCCCAACATTTGATTTTTATAGATTGATAAAGTAACCAGTAGTCAGTTTTTTTGAGTGAATGAAATCTATGTGTTTTTCCTCTGGTCCATGCATTTGCTAAATACTACAGTGATAACACTGGGGGAGTAAGTCAAGCAGGGCAAAATCAGTCTTTTCAGAAGAAGGACAGATGAAATCTCTCTAATATTTGACTGCATCTTGTGCATTTAGAAATTTTGCTAGAAGATGGGATGTGGTGTTTTATGGACCGGATGTTTGTAATATAGAAAAATAAAGAAAGAACATTGATGTAGGATTTTCTTGAGTCCTATCCAACAGAGCTGCCTGTGAAGTGACAGAACTCTGCAGAAAGCATCAGACTGAAAGAAGTTCAGGAACAAGTGACCACCAGGAACATCAATATATTAATCCAGAGCAGTGGAGCAGCAGCAGAATCTCTTGGGAATCCTCAGAAGTGACTTAAGGAGAAAAATATTCAGTCTTAACCTTCTCCTGGTACAGAGTAAGAAGCTAGCTTACATCAGTACAGTATTGTGCAGAACTCCTCTATCCCTATCTCTCCTCCTTGGAACCTGGGCTGTTAATGCAGCAACTGACAATGTACATTAGAGAAGAAGAGGTATCACCACTTCCCTGCTTTTCATCGGTTCCTACCTTGAATTAGAAGCCATCTGACTAAGGGAGACAAACTCAGATAATTACTACGAGACTATAATTAATAAATAAAAGTGATGGAGTTTGGTGTTTGGGGTGTAGCTCAGTTGTAGAGTGTGTTATGCTCAGCGTGTGTGAAGACCTGGATTGACTCCCCAGCAACAGTCAAACAAAACCAGTATATAGCTTTCCATGCATAAGCATGTCTTACATAGAGAAGCAAAACTGTTGTGGGCTTCTGGAGTTTTAGTGTGAGACAGATCATTCCTACTGAAAAAAATTTGAATAGATTATTGAAAACAAGTAAGTTTATTTGTTGATTGGATTCACATGCCATGCTTTTATTTATTTATTAATTTTTGGTGCCAGAGATTGAACTCAGGACTTGGTTCTTGCGAGGCAGGCATGGTGCCACTGAGCTAAAGCCCCAGCTCCATGTCATGCTTTTTAACATGATGGCTATACGTATTCTTTTTTCTTTTTAAAAACTGATTATTTATATTTTAATATATACTAATATAAAAATACACATATTAATGGAGTACCTTACAATGTTTTGATACATATATACATTATGTAATGCTCAAATCAGGTCATACATATTTATCTCCTCAAACCTTAATTGTTTCTTTACAGCAAAACTCCAAAAATTCTATCTTTGGGCTCTTTTGACATGTGCAGTGCATAATTATTATTAATAATGATACTGCTCTGTAATAGCACACCAGAAATTTTTGCTCCTAACTATAACTTAGTACACATTGATCAACCTTTCCCCATCCTTACCTTTATTTCCCTTGCAACTCTACCTGGCCTCTAATAGCCACCATTCTATTCTCAACTTGTATGAGATCAAGTTTTTTCTGTATATGCATGAGATCATGTGATACTCTTTTTTCCATGCCTGGCTTATATAATTTAACATAATGATCCTGTATATGTCATCTTAATTTTATCCATAGGAGCTTCCAATTTTTAAATCTAATTATTTGTTGAATGCCTTTGATTCTGTTTTTGAAGACTTCCTTCAGGAAGCCCTCTGGATTTCTGTACTAATTTGAATCAGTTGCTTTCTTCTCCGGAAATTTTCTGGGAACTCTGAATGTACCACTTGGCTAGAGTCACAGTTTCTGATTCTACATTTCTCGTATGCTGTGTGAAGACAGCAAGTGGTTGGGAAAATTCCTTATCAATCTCACGGTTATTATTCATCTGTTCATATAACTGATAGTTATGAATTTAGACTCAAACTTACAATTTAAGATGTAAAATTAAATTTTTTTCAGAATTATCAACTATTTTATCCAGTGATACTGAAAAGGGTCACATATGTTTTATTTGTGCTTTCTTTAAAAATGAATTTTCAAAGCTCTTTGAATATTTTCCTTTGTAAAAAGTCCTTTGTAAAAAATGTGTTTGGTATGGGTATGTGGTCACTTACCTTGCATGAAACTCTGAGTGGTATTCTACCTCTTGCTCTTGTTGCCGTATCCAACCATACCAAATCTCAGGGATGTTTTGGGTTCTGTGAACAAGATTTAAGTTGTTAAAAAAACAAAAAGGACTATGTTCTGAACTGCTTCTTTCGCTTTTTAAGTATATGCAGCAACCCCTTACTTTTTATCTTTAGACATTACTTAAAATCACTTGTCTCTAATGGCCTGTCCTCTACTTGTATATATATCATAGGTTTATTTCTATATTTATTTTCTCATTTCCTTTCAGTTAGTTTAGGTAAGGTAAGTGAAAATGACATGTACTCATTCTTTCAAAAGTCGCAGGGGAACATTGATTTTTTAAAAAATATTTTCTACACTTTTACATGACTTGAACTGAATAATATCTCAGTATTCATAAGCTCTGCCCCTCTGACAATGTATTTTTAATTGCTTATTAAAGATTGTTTTATATATCAAGAAGATATGTTGTTGTGAGTTAGTGTTTCAATTCCTTTGTTTCTTGTAGCTTCATATTTTTGTGAATTATGATGGTACTGGATCCGAAAATTTTGGCCAGCTTCCAGGGTCAATCAAAGGGATGATTGATACAAACATAGCAAGTATAATTGAAAGTGGGTCAACCCAGTTATAGAGGATGTTGAACAAAAATACTTCTAATTTGCTATTATAAATGAATGGTATGTAATTGAATTTTAACTGTACTTGAAACTTAGCAGGGATTGTATTTTAGAATACGACTCCCTTTATGGAATCACATGCAGCTAATTTTTCTCAATGTATTAGAGCAGATAAACGTATGGTTTTTAAGATTGTAAATCATCCAAACAATGATATACTGTAATGAAGTTTTGATGTTTAAATTATGTGAGGCTAAGGCCCCTCATTTCTCTTGAACATTACTATTTGACATACTCATCTTTAACCCTTAAAAATGTTCTTCCTGCAATTTTCCCTATTTCAAGATCACAGCTGCATTCTTTCAGTTACTTTGCCCTCACATCTTAGAATCCTTCCTGCCAAATATTTGCCTCATATCCCAGTATCAGATTTTTAGTTAGCTCTTCTTTCAGATTACAAAGAGTCAAAGATGTTTACCTCCTTTAGTGTCGTGTCCCCTGTTCAAATCATGACTGTCTCCAACCTGGATTGTTGTACTAGCTTGTCCAATGGTAACCATACTCCTACTCTCTCCCCTTCATGAGATCCTCTACACATAGCGAGAGTGCTTTTGATAAATCATGAGTCAGGCATGGCACTTTGCCCACCATCCTCCAATGGCTCCCGTTTCACTCAGAAGAAAGGCTGAAGTTAGTAAAATGACTTACATGGCCAGCATTATCCAGTCTTCCTCACTTATTTCTCCAACTTTATTTTCTACACTATTCCTTTTGTTTATTCTGCTCTTGTCATCTGGCCTCCTCAGTCTGAATTAAGAAAGCTTGGCATGCTCATATTTGTGGCTATTTTACTTGCTGTTGTCCCTCCTTATGGAATCCTTTTTTCAAATATATCCCATTCATCCTCATTCTTCAAGTTCTTGTACAAACATTACCTGTTAAGTTAGACCTTTCTCGAACACTCATATTAAAATTTCAACTCTCACCTAGTGTATTCTGATAGGTCTGACCCCCATCGACCCCACCTTCAACTGCCTCTTCCCTGCCATCTGAGCATGGAAACAATTCCTACTCTGCTAGGACATGGCACACCTGCCCCACCTGCTAGGTCACAGTAATCATTGCTATAGCCACATACTCAGCTGTTCTCACTCCCCCAGTGTAATACCCCTCCTTTGCCTCACTCCACCTAAGCCAGTCCCACTAATACCCCCAACTCTATCAATAAAATACCCAGCTCAATAAATTGGACTGGGATGCTCCTTTGGAAATACTTCAGGAAGTCCTACCTGGAACACCCAAAATCAAGCAGGTTGTGTTATTTAATGGGTCATTATTTAGCTAACACTTTCTATTTAACTTCTTTTCTGATGCTCATTTTTAATTTATTTTATTTCTCTCTACAAAACTTTAGGTTCCTGACAAGTAAGACATTTTAAATATTTTGTTCACTTTTGAATCTTTTGTTTTAATTTTTCTTATTGCTGAGACAAAATACCTGACACCCAAAGTTGCAGGAGGAAAGGTTTATTTCAGCTCAGTTTGTAGAAGTGGCAGTCCATAATCAGCTGGCTATAAGGCAGGGTGGCATGGCAGACAGGCATTGCAGAGGAGAAACAGTTCATGGCAGGCAGAAGTCAACAAAGCAGCAAGCAGCACATGACAAACAATGATTACAGCAGTACTCTTTTTTCCCATATATTTTATCCAGGCTATACAACCTTGGGGTGAGTAGCACTCAGGGTGGGGCACCCTTAATGCTGTGCCAGAACTATGCCTAACCAGTCAGTGGATTAATTTATTAATCACACATCCTTAATCCCAGCATCACACACTCTAGATCCAGCCACTTCTGAAAAGCCCCACCTATGACATCATAAAGCTTTAGGGTGACATCTAGACATGAACTGTAACATTCCACTCTTAGTCCCCTGAAGACTTATGCACATCCCTTTATGCACTATAAACCCAATTATGAGGAACAAATTTTCTAGGCTGCCACCATTCTGGAACATGGTGCTCTGGGGCTCTCTTTGCAAAGCAAAGTCTTCTACCTTTGCAATTTTCCAGCTAACAAAGACTGGGGTCTTTCTGGTTTTTGTGATGTCCTCAGGCCATCCTTTCTATTATCCTTTTTCTTCACAGCAACCAAGTGTTTCTCTGTTCAGCTTTGCAGTCTTTAACTTTAGTGGAATTTCCCTTCTGGAAAAAGTCATGTTTTAAATAATTCCACTAGGTTCTTGGGTCTTGAGTCTCAACACAAATCTGGCTAAATGCCCCCAATGGTATCCTTGCCACCATGTCAACATTAGAATTCCTTGAATTTCTTCTGCCAGATTAATTAGTCTGTTGCCCTTAATCTTAGTGTTAGGAAAAGTCTCTGGATAAGAGCAAAATGCAAACTTTCCACTAAGGCATAACACACATGGTCTGGAGTCAAACAGCCAATTCAGTCCTTCTTCCCAGCAGAAACCTTCTGAGCTTGGTCTTTACCAGCAGCATTTCTATCAACATTTTGGTCCTCTGAGCTCTGACAAGAATTTCCCATCAAGTACAGTTTAGGCCATTCCAGGGATGCTTTTTCAGTCAACATCTCCAAACCTTTCCAAACTCTTCCTACAAGCCAGTTTCAAAGTTTCCTGAACCACATGGTCAGGTGCAGTCACAGCGAGGACCCCACTTCTCTGGTATCAAATTCTGTCTTAATTACTTTTCTCATTGCTGAGACAAAATATTCACTATCCAAAGTTAAAGGAGGAAAAGTTTATTGTAACTCACAGTTTGTAGAGGTTTCAATTCATACTTAGCTGGTTCCAAGATAGGGTGCCATGGCAGAGAGGCAACACAGAGGTGAAATAGTTTATGGCAAGCAGAGGGCAGCAAAGCAGAAGGCAGCAAGCAGCAAAGTAGTGAAGCAGCAAACAACCACAGCAGCTTTCTTTCTGTCTCTTATATCTTACCCAGGCTAGCCACCCTTAGGATAGTTAGCACTGACACCCAGGGTAGGGCAGCTCTAATCCTAGCATCACACCATGAATCAATCCCAGCATCGTATCCTTGATCCTAGCATCACACATCCTAGACCCAGCCTCCTGGAAAAACCCACTTATAACCAAATGAAGTTTTGGTGGACATTTAGATACAAGCCATAACATCTCAAGAAGCTCTAGTTAGAACACAGCTGTGCTCAATAAACATTTAAAGAAGAAAGGACATAAAAGAAGAGGAGAGGGAGAAAGAATAAGAACACTTCCATAGTGTGGAGGTTGAATGTCACTCAAAGTCATGATTTAAATTTCATCCTCAGGTTAAACTATTGAAAGGTGGTGGTATCTTTAGAAGATGAGGCTTAGTGGAGGCTTTTAGATTCTTAGTACATTGGGGACATGCCCTCAATGGGGATCATGGAAACTGTTTCCTTCCACTTCCTCTTTTACTTCCTAGCTGTGAGCTGAGCAATTTGCTCTGCCATAACTTTCCCACTATTGCCATGCAGCTCTTCCACCAAAGATGTAAAAGCGATGTCTCCACCCAATCATGGGCTGAAACCTCTAAAACTTTGAGACAAAATAAACCTATTCTCTTTGTAAGTTAATAATCTCAAATATTTTGTTATAGTGATAGAAGCTGAAACTCTATACTGGATTTCATCCTAAATTAGTTATGGAGGGGAGGGACAATTTAATTCATTCATTAAAAACCAGTTTATTTCCAGAAAAGAATGTCTTTTATGGGAAAAAGTCACATATTTTCTCAACACTGCCTTTGTTTTAGGTTGTGTACAGTAAGGATAGCACATTCTGCAACTGCTGCATGTGGGTAAAAGTCTAGAAGTCATGTGTACTTGCTTATATGTGAGTTGAATACTGGTAAATCTATAAAAGGAACTTAACATATGCTAGGATACTCAGCATCAGTTGTGAAAAGAACTTATATTTTTGAGAGAAAGAATAAAATGTTTTTGTAAAGAATTCTTGTAGAATTTTTCAGAACCATAAGGAGAGGATTATCTTTTGATTTAAATGGCATGTTTTGGTATACATATTCCTTCAAAATCCTTGGAAAATTTTTGAGTTCTCTGAGTCAACTATGCTTTCTACAGCTGTAACTTTTTCTAATTACTTCAAACACATGGTTTGTTTCAGATAATAGGCCTGAATACTTCTGTTGAGGATAAGGAAATTATAGATGCTAGTCTTATTTATACTGCCATTTATATGTCTTATAGAATGGAATAAATGCCCAGGCTTGATGTTCTCCATGCATTCTGAGAGGCTTTGCCAACTAGATTTGCTAGGTCTCTTGTTGCTTAAAATAAAAGGCTGTTGTTTGGATCCTGGGCATTTCCTCCCTGGTTATTACCTTCAAGCAAAGTCACACCATCAGAAGTCACATGATTATTTTGGTTTTAAATATCAGATTTTGCTATCTGAATCTTTGTTATAATGAAAATAATGAGAGTTAAAATAATAAAAATGGCTACAATATCTACTGTACTTCCATTCTAACAAGAACAACTCTTTCTCATTTTTTAATCTGACAGGTGCTATATATCAATGTATCTTTAAATTTTTGTTATATATTTTGTCTTCCTAAGTATCAAAAATAAAAAGATCCTACTTCTTACTAGGTTTCCATTTGAACCAAAGTCATGCTTACCGTCCCATCACTTGTCTTAAGTGTGTCATATCTTCTTGCCTCGGCATTTGATTGCATGTGTGTCACACTGGCATTTACACCCAGACTTCTGGGAGAAAAGGCTGACAAGTGAAAGCAGAAAATTGGACTATGAGTGCTTTCTTTTAACCTTGGCAGTGCTCCTTCTCATGAAGGATTGAAAACTCCTGGCTAAACCTCCCTTTTTAAATTCATTTTGATTAAGCCAGCACATTTTTATAGTGAAATGGTTATATATCACTTAGAAATAGAAAAACTGGTCTTTCAATTGTAAATTCAAATAGAAAAGGATAGTACCAAGAATGTTCATTTGCAATTTTAGGAGATAAAGCAAGTATTTGAGAGTGTGGTTTTCTTGCTTTCAGTCACTTCAAAAATACAGGAATTAAAATTTCTACTAAAATGATACCAAGCCCTCAGGTGAGGCTTTTGCCCTGTCATAGAAAGCTGGCAGTGAAGCAAGTGTTCTTGGCTCTCAGAAATTTGGAAACCAGAACTGCTAGTGGATTTAATTAGGACAGCTCTACTAATTTGAGCCAGAGTTATGACAAGTACTTTTTAATTTCAGTTACTCAGCAGGAACAGTATATCATACTGAAATTGTCAAGGTCTTATGTTTCAGGCATGAAAATTGGCTAAGATCTTTAAATTTCCAAATAACTGAGCCTCAAAAGAACCATTTTCTTTGAGAGATAGTAATGTGGAGATGTTGAGGTGTCAAAAAAGAATGAGAAGTAACTTAAAGAAGAAATCTGGTTTGGAGTATATATCATTTAACTCTCATTTTTGGTCTAGTTATTCAATAATTTGATTGGCATTCCTAAAGTGTACAAATGGCTTCAATAATCAGATTTTAGAATTAACTGCTGATTGTGTTTACAGCCTTTTAACAGTGTCACTGTGTGACAGAGGTGAGTTCTGAAAGAATGAGCCAAGTTTTGAAGCCCAGGGGATTCAGAACTTGTATTATTACCCTTTGGCTTTGCTATT